GGAACCCATGGAAGAAACTCCTAATATGGTGAGGGGAGTAAGAAAAGTAAGAAGGGGAGAAGCTTATTCAGCTGCGATCAATATACCCAGGTTGGAGGATGCAGTGCCGGAAGAGATCTATAGAGAGAACGGTAGATGGCGAGATATGGAAAGTCTATATAAACAACTCAGGGTAGATGATATTGACATCACGCCACAGTTGAAGGCTGAGTTAAAGGACTTACTCGCTGAGTACAGTCATTGTTTCTCGAGAGACAAGTTTGATCTAGGAGTAGCAACATTTTATGAGGCTAATCTCCGGCTTAAAAGAGATTATGTTGCAAAGTGGGTCCCGAGTAGAGACATAAGTTACAAAATGAGGCCTCACATGGACAAGGAAATTGGGAATTTGGTCAAATCGGGTCAAATTGAGAGATGTCATTACAGTAATTGGAATTCTTGTGTATTCATGGTGGTTAAGCCGGGCCAAACAGATTCTTACAGAATGGTTCAAGACATGCGCCAGCTAAATGAGCAAACCCTACCTGACAATTTTGAGTTGCCTAGAATTAACACAATCATGGACAAAATGTCAGAGTGCGGGTTCTTAACCAGCTTTGACTTCACTAAAGGCTTCAATCAGATTAGGTTGAGGGAGGAGGATCGGCCCCTCACAGCATTTACCCACCATGACGGATCCAGGTACCAGTGGGCACGACTAGTCATGGGCCAGACCAGCTCATCAAGCCAATTCGCTAGGTGCATGTCCTACCTTTTCTCAAAAGTTCCTTTTAGTTCTTTGATTTGCTTTTTGGATGATATCCTTGTAGGCTCCAATTGTCCAAAGGAGCACCTGAGGAGGATTCGATTCATTTTGGCAAGATTGTCACGGGGCGGGATCAAGATCTCCACCAGTAAAACCCAATTGATGAGACAGGAAGTCAAGTTTCTGGGACATATGATCAGCAAAGAGGGACTGAGGATCGATCCAAAGAGGACAGAAGCAATCAAGCAGTTACAACCTCCAGATTCTGTCAAAAGGTTACAGAAATTTCTAGGTGCCCTGAATTATAATCGTGGATTCATTAAGGGATTCAGTTCCATTGCAGCACCTTTGTACAAATTGTTACAAAAGGGGGTCACTTTCAAATGGGACTCTGACTGTCAGTCTGCGTACAAGGGCTTAATCCAAGCCATGTGTCAGGCCCCTACGTTAGCAATACCAGAGTACAACGATCCAAACCAGTCATATGAGGTCACAGTGGATTCCAGCAAGATAGGGCACGGTGCAATGCTGACGCAGTTAATTGATGGACAACGGAGAGTTATGTCGTACTGGTCCAAGGCTGTGCCAGTGCACATGCAGAAGTTAGGAGCCAGTAGATTGGAATTCCTGGGATTGTATTACAGCCTGCTTCATTATAGAATATATTTGGAGAATACTTCATTTCGTGTAATTACAGATTGTAAAAGTTTGCTCAACTTGACGACTATTTTTCGCAAAGAAAATAGTTATATGCAAAGAAGGCTGGCTGATTTGGCGTCTTTCCGGTTTAAGGTAGTGCATGTCTCCGGGGAGAGCAATGATATTCAGTGGGCGGATTATCTGAGTCGGAATCCTGTGGAAATAGAGACCACGTCAGTAGCCACGCAGACCAGTGATGATGCAATTGCATCGATCAAATCCATCGTGGTAGAGAGAGAAAATGATTCATTTGACAAAGTTGAGAGTAAGCAGCAGGTATCAGAGAAACAGTACACACGGACACACATTACACGGGTGCTGAAATCGGAGATAGAATTACCTGAGCAGCCCATTACGCTGGCAGAAATTCGGAGAGAATATGCTAATGATACAATTTTATCAACAGTAATTAAATGGGTAGAAAGTGGGCAGCCTCCAGATAATGTCAGTTACCGTAGGGATTCTGCTGAGCTTTGTCACTATAGACAAAATTTTGACATGATGACGGTCAAAGAGGGGATTCTACATCGCAGATGGGTAAATCCCACTAACAGACAGGAGGACAGAGATCTTATTGTGGTGCCGAGGCCACTTATTGACAGAGTTTTACATTCGTACCACGACGGCAATTGCCACGTGGGTGCGGATCTAGCACTTGAACACTGCCAGAAGAGGTTTTACTTCTACAAACAGCGCAAACTTTACAAGTTATATTGCGAAGCATGTATCACGTGTGCACAGGGTAAGCAGCCTCACAGCTTCAAGAAAGCTCCATTGAAACCCATTGTTTATAGCCACTTTGGGCAGTGTGTTGCCATTGATTACTTAGAGCCATCTAAGAAGCCTACGAAAAGGGGCCATACAGCACTGTTAACAATGGTCGATATGTTTTCTAACTATGTGGTGTGCAAGCCAGTGAAATCTACAGGCACAGAGGAAGCCATTAAGGTTATCGTGAATGAGTGGATCCTGAAATTTGGAGTCATGTCTACAATCATACACGACTTAGGACCGAGTTTCTCGAGCACTTTGTTCAAGTCAGTCTTAAAAATGTTCAACATTAAGGATATACACGGAGTTCCGTGGAAATGTCAGACCAACGGACGAGCTGAGGCCTTCAACAAGAAAATCAATGTTTGTATGAGAACATGTCTAAATGAGAATCAGTGGCAGGACTATGACTTGTGGATTAACTACATAGTGTTTGTGCTCAATAGCTTGAAATCCACTAGGACCAAATACTCAGCCAATTTTCTGTTATTTGGGCGTGAAGTCATGAGTGTGAGAGACTTGTACATACAGGATGATGAGAGATTAGAGCAGATTTATTCCGAAATAGATGACGGTGACTCTAGACAGCTTCTTGCATACAATTTGTATCGCAATATAGCTGAGCTGAGGTGACTAGAAAAGCAGCTGCGAACAATGCTGTCAAGGCGAAGTTTATGAAGACGAGCTACGATAAAGGAGTAAGAGGACCATTTTTCGAGAGTGGGGAGTGGTGCATGTTATTGGTTCAAAGACCTGGACACAAGTTTGCTCCCAGATTTCAGGGCCCATACAAGATAGTAGAGAAGCTTAGTGATTGGAACTACATTGTCCAGGTGGGACAGGAGAAGAAGGTAACCAGCATCACGAAGATGAAACCTTATAAAGGGGGAGAACCACTCACCAAGGTTCCTGGAGCGGCTGTGGGATTTCCCAGCGGCTGTTCTGTGGAAAATGAAGGCAACGTGAGTGAGGTGAGCATTCTATCACCTGGAGCGGCTGTGGGATTTCCCAACGGTTGTTCTGGGGAAAGTGAAGGCAGCATGAGTGAAGTGAGCGTGGTCACTGATAGTGATTCAGATGATTCAGATGATTATCACATCATCACGAGAAGTCGGAAGAAGAAGAGGGATCAAGGAATTCCTTGTCCCTCATCTAAGATCAGTAAAAGTGGAGGAAAAGCGTCAGCACCAGTGAATCTCACAAGTTCTGGAAATGATGTACCACAAACTGAAGTTGGGAGTGGAGATCCGGCCATTGTGGTGGAAGAGGAGGAACGAGGATTGGATGACACGATAGTAAACTCATCGCTCAACGATGTACCGCGTCAGGAAGAAGATCCACAATTAAATCTAAGTGCAGATACCACCGAATCTTTTCACGATGCACTAGATTCAAGTCAATCTCAAAACATTGACTCTAGTCCGGAAGTAGCGGCCGCATCTGCTGGACCGAGCAGAGAGGGCAATATGCAATTCGGAGAAATAGATAGTAGAGGACTTACTCTTGCTGACATAAGTCGTGAAGAAGACGGCAGAGATCCGAGGAGAAAGTATGAACTCAGACCGAGAAAGAATAAACCGAAGTATGTTTAATCACAGGAGAAATGTCGGAAATGACTAAAATAAAGTCATATAGACTGGAACGGTAATTTGCGTGATATATTTGATAATTGTGCACAATGGTATTTTGTTAAAGTATTTACAGTAAAATCACGGTATCAGGGATTTGAAAAGAACAACCTTGTTGTTACCTTTTCGTTTTAACAGTCTTATTATATTACTAGGTCGACCTGAGTGTTGATTCTTACCGTATTCGGGAGATTGATCACCTCTTTTTTACATTAAGTTTGAATCATAACAACACTTTACTTAAAGTAATACTAATCTTGACATCAATTAGAACATGGTTATTTTCAACTTGGTGATGAAATTAATTTTGGGCAGCTTTGGTGCCAGTTTTAACTTTTAATAGCAAGAGAGACACATTTTTTTTTTCCAATTTTATGTGGGTTTTAAAAAACACTTTGTAGGTAGATTTGATATATATTAGAATTTGTAAAGTTATCCATTGCAATTGCAACGGGAGAACTTCCACAAAATTTTGTGGGGAGGATATGTTATATACTCGTTTTAGCAGTTTTAGTACTAGACATTAAACAGTATTTTACCGTAGTATTTTAGGGCATTTATTAGTGTACGACATTTAGTACAGCAGGGTAGTGCAGAGAGTTTTAGGGAAACAGAAAGTTTATTTTAACATCTCTGTTTTGGTTATCAAAGAGTTCAGTTTAACAACTCTGTTTTGGCTATAGAGCTATAGGAGGATAGTTAAAGATATTGTTAAGGGCAGAGAGTTTTAGGGAAACAGAAAGTTTATTTTAACATCTCTGTTTTGGTTATCAGAGAGTTCAATTTTACACCTCTGTTTTGGCTATAGGAAGGATAGTTTGGGATTTGTTTAGGGATTGCTAAAACGAGTGGGAGATTGTTTATACTATCTAAGGATATTTAAGAGTGGGCCTGTTGGATGGCAGGACACTTTTTGGTTTGAATACAGCAGACGTTTACAGCTAATGTTTACAGTTAAAGAACTAGGCTATTCGAATTATTGACTTAGTATTTGAGGAACACTGAGATATTGTAATTACAATTCTTAACGGTTTATTCGAATTGAAGTATTTTCCCTTGTCACCTTGCTGAACAAAATATAAAGGAAAAGAGCCTTTTATCAACCTCTCATGATCATATATTATGTACTTCCAATCTTCTATACTCAATTATTTCAGTTGACCTCAGCGGAATCACTCCGAGTGTATGTTCAAATGGAGGCTATCAACGGGGAAACTATGCTGGTAACTAAATCATCTGTGGTCATTTTGAATAATTTGTATGAAAAAGTGGTATTCAAAATGATCAGTTTTATCTAACTGATCTTAAATATAAATGTGTAGCATTTGTTAACTTTGACCGAGTTTCTAGTGGTTTCGTAGAAATGGACGGCTTATTACGTCATAACATTCCATCAGTTTACCACCTGTGTGGCTACCTGTGCGTAATGATGCGGATTGTATATCAAATTTAGGACAACTGAAATTGTCCCTCGATTATTCTGTAGCTGTGACTCTCTTCAAAATTAACAGTTCTTCGTTTACAGGGATTCAAAAAAAGCGACTGTTCCAGATTCGGTTTGATAAAGGAAAATGATTTCGAGTGAGTTTTGTCTCATTTTCGAATCTATTTTCTCACGCTGACATCTAATACGATAGTCATGTGCTTGAGGAATTTATTTATCGTCTCGTTTTGCTTTCGAGTTACGTCAAACGGATGAAACCGTAACCCTGTACTACTGGGAAGGGAAATTATACGACACGCGGATTTAGGAAGTAGAATTTTCAAGTTGTTTTACAAGGTAGTTTATAATGGTAGGTATAAAACGCGCGGCTCAATGCGCGCGTCAGCTATTTCACGTGTTTAAATCAAATCGCTGGAGCAGTACAGCTGATGAACGTAACTGATATTAAATGTACATTGTTTTTCAGCAAAATACTGAAGAAGCTACGAAGTTGCGACGAAAAAATAGAAAAAGATTTAAGGAAAAACACGGGGAGAAGGACAAAGAAGAAACCTGGCCTTTTTGGAGGGGATAAAGCGGACAGTGGACTTGACGAATCCAGTTCAGTATGCGAGGATCAAGGTACACCTTGCAGTATTTTCTGTGATTTCATTCTGCACATCATAGCTAACAACTGTTTCTGATTTAACTTAGCGACAAAAGAATTTTCTAAATTATAGAATCAAACAAACTCGCTCATACTGATAAAATAATTTCCAGAAATTCAGTCCTTACAGTTTATCCTGAACAGGGTTCCACCGGGAAATCAAGGTTCACAGTGACAGTCCAGGGTCAGCAAATACCAGTGGTACTGGCTCCTTCGCACCATCCTTATCCGGGGGTAGCAGCCATAAAGGGCACTCGGGAATGGTGGCCCCTGCTACTGTGAGTACATTTATCTTATTACACCCAGTTTAAGGCCCTGAATTAATAAAGGAAAACATGAAAATGATAACAATCTGTGTGTCATGTATTCAATAATGTTGGGTACGATATGCCTTGTGAACTGGTGAGCTTGTTAACTAATTAAATAACTTTCCAGTATGAATGGGAGCCGCAGCCTGGACGGACAACCATACCAGAAGCAACTTACGTCGCCCCAGAAGGTACCACACTTGTTTCTGAAGAACACCAGCTGTTTAAAAGAGCTTATTAAGTCCGTTCTAAATTTCAGTGGATACATTGAGTGTGTACCTAAATTGTAGTTTTAAGTTTTATATTATTATATTAAGTGTTATCAAGATGTAAACAAAATCCTGTTAGTCAATGTACCTGGAGGACAGTGATAGACCCTTTAAAAATGTAAAACGTAACACACGGAAATTGTTACATGTAACACTCATGAATTGTTACACCCAGATATACACCGAATTGGTACTTTTGAGCAAGTTTGGTCGCCTGAGCCTGAAGGTAACATGTCATGTGCAATGTCACGTGCTGTTTCAATCACTGACGAGACTGAATACATGATAATGGAAAATAAAAGGGACTATATAAACAATAACAATAACGACAACTTTACCAGACTTTGTGACATGGACCCTGACACAGGAAAATGTGACACAGTATTTGAGCGTCCTAGATGTTACGCCTTGCCAAGACAAGCTGTTTGTCCTATATCACCACCAACTTCACCTAGATGTCGACATTCAAGCTCGACTAGACCTATACTTCCTTCCTCGCTTGCACTAACTAGACGTATAAGTAGCCACACAACTCCGTATATACCCAGGAAAAGTTCCGGGGGTTCTATCTTTAGCCCAACCTCCCCTGGCAAAGTGCCATTATTTGGCAGCCGCCCTTCATCCCCTGGCAAAGTGCCACTTTTTGGCAGCCGCCCTACATCACCTGACAAAGTGCCACATGAAAAATGTGATTTACTTGATAGACGACAATACCAGAATGCAGACAGACTCAACAAACCAGGTACTGACATTGTTTAGACCTCCTTACTATTCACATAACCTTAGATTTCCCCTTAATTTCAGAGTTTCAGTTGTATCCAACTCCACCACCAGTATCTCAACTATCACCTCCACCACCTTCCAAACTATCTGATCTACAGAACAGCTACGTGAACCTGCCCCGCACAAACAGTGACCTACTCTCTCAACCATCTACACCGTCTAAACCGCCTCGGTTACAAAGTGTTTCCACGCCTCCCCCCAAAAAAGAGTATAAACCTAAATTTGACAGGAGTGCCAGTCAACCTGCCATCCCAGTAAAGACTTGGAAACAGTCCATACCCTCCAACTTACAGGACACAATGGAGATAACTAACCCAACTAGTGTCGCCAAGTTTACCAGAAACAGTTACATCAACCTACCCCGATCTCCTACACACCAAGTTCAGCCTGATAGTGACAATGTTGAGTTGGTAAGACCCCGCTCCTTTGCATTTGATCTGGCTCTTGATACCGAGAATCCTGACTTGAGACGGAGCTACGAGAGGAGGAGGGGGAGTGACAGTGTAGTTCCAGCTAGTAGGTCTCCTCTTCCCAATCCTCTTACAGAAACCTACGCGGATCCCATTAGTGTCTTCCGTCACTCCGCAATACCTAGATCCTTCAGTCTGGGCGACGTCTCTCCTGGTTTGTGACTTGCACCATGATTTGTGGGATAGTTGTAGTACAGTGACTGTTGCTTGACTCTTGACCATGACAGACTTTCGTAAGTGCGACTATACTATCAGTGCGACTTTACTATCAGTGCGACTATACTATCAGTCAACCAGTGCGACTATACTTTTATATCAGTGCGAATATACTATCAGCTTGACGATACTGTCAGTGCGACTATTTTACTGCCATGCACAGTCCTTATATTCGCTCATCTTTCTGGTCACTGAATACTTAAGACAAGTGACAAGCTGAATACTGACGCTTTCACTTACCTGCCGTATTATATCTGATTTACAATGTTTATGCATGTGTAATGAAACGTAATTCCTCCTGCATGAAGTATGTACAAAACTGCATGTTCCTTTTCGTGTACTCGGGATCTGTACTTGAAATCCCATGTGAATATATCACATTATAACCCATGTGACGTCACACACCACGTGGAATGACGTCATACACCACGTGGAATGACGTCATACATCCCGATAGGACGTGTGCAGGATAGCGTGAGCTTTGGTAGCGAAGTACTTGTCCCATTAGTTTCCTCGGTTGGGCACTACGAGGCCACTATTAGAATCAATGATCCTAATGTGGGTTATCTAAATCCAGGTATTCCGTATTGAGCGAGTATCGTGTCAGATCTGTCAATGATTGGCGTTCATCCTGTGAAGAATAAGTCAACCATCAGCTCATAATTAATGTTAAATTATACATAACTAGAAAGCCCGTGGTAACAGGGACGAAGCTAATAGTATTCTTTGAAAGAAAGTTTTTATCGCATCAAAAAAGATCCATCCCGACCGAAGATACAGTCAATTTAAATATAAAACACTTTAAACACAACGTAATTACCACAAAACCGATCAAAATGACGTTAAAACAATCTTTGCACGTGCATGTGTGCATTAAAACACCGTTGCTATGGAACCTTTTGGTTGTTACCTAAATTCCTATTTCTCATCTGATTTGCACGTGGGCGGTCGTACATACATACAGACAGCAGAAATGATTCTCTGAATTATAGTAGAGATTACATAATTAATGTTAAATTGCATAATGTTAAATGCTATAATTGGGTTATTTATGTCGACTAATTAATTTTATCAGATGTTTGTATTATTATGTTTATGTTTAACTCGGTAATCAAATCTCCGTTCACTGATGGCACGTCATGGGCTTTATTTCAATGTTCGTGATAAATAACCGACTCAAAAGATGACCTTCTCGTTTCTGATTTTGTTACAAACGATGACAGAAAACAAGGAATATTTTCTGTGATCGGGAGTTTAGTTTTAATTTGTTGATGATACGCAAACGTTACAAGTTGCATGATGGGTGCTGGCATGGAATATTTATGTTTAGTTGTTGTAGAACATTTGTAGAAGTAAAGTGCCAATAACTTCTAAATTTTAATTTGCATGTATAATTTACTCGTGAATCGTGATTACTGATTAGATTAGATACCCCAAATATCTTATGAAACTTTAGTTGAACATCAGAGTATACACTATATTTGAGTACTGGCTACTAAAACTACTGGCTACTAAAAGTACTGGTCAATAAAAGTACTGGCTACTAAAAGTAATGGCTACTAAAAGTACTGGCCACTAAAAGTACTGGTCACTAAAAGTACTGGCTACTAAAAGTACTGGCTACTAAAAGTACTGGTTACGAGAAATACTGGTTACTAAAAGTACTGGTTACTAGAAATACTGGTTACTAGAAGTACTGGTTACTAGAAGTAACCAAATGTCACTAACTCCAGCTCTATTCAGATGAGGTTGAGGCCCCCACTCGAGCTGTACCCAGAATGTACCCTACTTTACCTGAACCTGAGCCTGACTGGGGTGAGTGTTCCTATCTTTATCTGTGTGTTTGTTTGTACTAGTGTCTGTATCTTTATCTGTGTGTTTGTTTGTACTAGTGTCTGTATCTTTATCTGTGTGTTTGTTTGTACTAGTGTCTGTTTCTTTATCTGTGTGTTTGTTTGTACTAGTGTCTGTATCTTTATCTGTGTGTTTGTTTGTACTAGTGTCTGTATCTTTATCTGTGTGTTTGTTTGTACTAGTGTCTGTATCTTTATCTGTGTGTTTGTCTGTACTAGTGTCTGTATCTTTATCTGTGTGTTTGTCTGTACTAGTGTCTGTATCTTTATCTGTGTGTTTGTTTGTAATAGTGTCTGTATCTTTATCTGTGTGTTTGTTTGTACTAGTGTCTGTTTCTTTATCTGTGTGTTTGTTTGTACTAGTGTCTGTATCTTTATCTGTGTGTTTGTTTGTACTAGTGTCTGTATCTTTATCTGTGTGTTTGTTTGTACTAGTGTCTGTATCTTTATCTGTGTGTTTGTTTGTACTAGTGTCTGTATCTTTATCTGTGTGTTTGTTTGTACTAGTGTCTGTATCTTTATCTGTGTGTTTGTTTGTACTAGTGTCTGTATCTTTATCTGTGTGTTTGTTTGTACTAGTGTCTGTATCTTTATCTGTGTGTTTGTTTGTACTAGTGTCTGTTTCTTTATCTGTGTGTTTGTTTGTACTAGTGTCCGTATCTTTATCTGTGTGTTTGTTTGTACTAGTGTCTGTATCTTTATTTGTGTGTTTGTTTGTACTAGTGTCTGTATCTTTATCTGTGTGTTTGTTTGTACTAGTGTCTGTATCTTTATCTGTGTGTTTGTTTGTACTAGTGTCTGTATCTTTATCTGTGTATTTGTTTGTACTAGTGTCTGTATCTTTATGTGTGTGTTTGTTTGTACTAGTGTCTGTATCTTTATCTGTGTGTTTGTTTGTACTAGTGTCTGTATCTTTATCTGTGTGTTTGTTTGTACTAGTGTTCGTATCTTTATCTGTGTGTTTGTTTGTACTAGTGTCTGTATCTTTATCTGTGTGTTTGTTTGTACTAGTGTCTGTATCTTTATCTGTGTGTTTGTTTGTATTATTGTTCGTATCTTTATCTGTGTGTTTGTTTGTACTAGTGTCTGTATCTTTATCTGTGTGTTTGTTTGTACTAGTGTCTGTATCTTTATCTGTGTGTTTGTTTGTACTAGTGTCTGTATCTTTATCTGTGTGTTTGTTTGTACTAGTGTCTGTATCTTTATCTGTGTGTTTGTTTGTACTAGTGTCTGTATCTTTATCTGTGTGTTTGTTTGTACTAGTGTCTGTATCTTTATCTGTGTGTTTGTTTGTATTATTGTTCGTATCTTTATCTGTGTGTTTGTTTGTACTAGTGTCTGTATCTTTATCTGTGTGTTTGTTTGTACTAGTGTCTGTATCTTTATCTGTGTGTTTGTTTGTACTAGTGTCTGTATCTTTATCTGTGTGTTTGTTTGTACTATTGTCTGTATCTTTATCTGTGTGTTTGTTTGTACTAGTGTCTGTATCTTTATCTGTGTGTTTGTTTGTACTAGTGTCTGTATCTTTATCTGTGTGTTTGTGTGTACTAGTGTCCGTATATTTGTGTGGTTTACAAAGAACAAATAGTTGAGTAGGGTACTGTTTTGGAGTCACACAGCGAATTACTAATAATAATATATATAAATAATTAATAACTAATAACAATGTGTATATTTGTATTCTCCTCTGTAGTTGCTATCTCGACAAATGAGGAGAAATAAAATTTAAACTTAGTTAGTAGCAAATAAGTTTGTTTAGCTGTTTAAACAGTAACTTTCAGATCCGGATGCATTGTACGAGAATTTTGAGCCTCCACCACCTCCAGCTGTTGTGAGTATAAATCAGTACATTTTATAATAGTAATAATACTATATAATAAGTGGCCCATAAGTGACTACCCACACGCAACCTCTTAATAACTCACGTAATTCGTCTCTAAATTGCACCAAAATTTCAGAGATTATAGATATGGGTCAGATTTCCTGAGAGTTTCGTAAGCCACGCCCAATTACAGTGGGCGTGGCGTGACACTCCCTCTTTTTCACTATTGTCTTCATAAAATGAGAACGCTTTAAGCTAAGAACTCAAAATTTTTTGCACACATTTGGCTTGATAATTGAAAACTTTTCCAAAAGTTTCAAGTTCATTGGTTAAAATATGGCTAAGTTATGACCATTTCAAAACTCATCGGATACGTGATCCGAGCACTCAGTCAGTGATATTTGCACTCAATTAGTGATCTCGTCACCCAATCTGATCAAGAGTAAGGCGTTAGCGTGTATTAATGAGGTTCATTAGGCTTTGATTGGATACCGATGATGACTTTGCTAGAAAGAAAAACAATTTTTAGGATAAATCAATAAATGAAATCAACTAATAAAAATTCCCACACAAAAACAATTCAATAATTTCAATTAAGATGTTCAAATTGTCGTCCCCCAGCTGCAATCACCTTGAGGCACCGCTTCTTCACACTCCGACAAGCGTTCGTAGCAAACGCTGGGTCCATATTTTAACCAATGAACTTGAAACTTTGGGAAAGGTTTTCAATTATCAAGCCAAATGTGTGCAAAAAATTTTGAGTTCTTAGCTTAAAGCGTTCTCATTTTATGAAGACAATAGTGAAAAAGAGGGAGTGTCACGCCACGCCCACTGTAATTGGGCGTGGCTTACGAAACTTTCAGGAAATCTAAGTTTGACCCATATCTATAATCTCTGAAATTTTGGTGCAATTTGGAGTCGAATTACGTGAGTTATTAAGAGGTTGCGTGTGGGTAGTCACTTATGGGCCACCCTGTAGTAGCACTATATTATAATATTACTATAATAATACTAATATACGAATAATGACATAATGATACCAATGATAGTGCTGTTAACATTCTTCATTATATAATAACTTAGTGTCAACTTGTTAAATAACTTAAACAACGTAACAACTGTTAAAAAACGTAGGATTAAATGAGTACAGAGTACAGACACCAGGGTGTAGTGTACCCTTAGTAGTTAGTATACAGACTGAACATCTGACATAACATCTCTTAGCAGCTTTTTTTCGCTTCGTCCTCCTATTTTCCATTTCTGATTTGTTATAAATTATCAATCACGAGACTCGGTTTTCAGGACGATAGAGTTGACGAGTGGATTGATGACGAACAGCTATACTTGAACCAGGAGGTTGAAGGAGATGGAGTTGAAACGGAGGATATTTACGAGAACCAGGAATTTGACTCCTCCAGCGGTTAGTTCCACTCTTATCTCTTATCTCTTATCTCTTATCTCTTATCTCTTATCTCTTATTTCTTATCTCTTATCTCTTATATCTTATCTCTTATCTCTTATCTCTTATCTCTTATCTCTTATCTCTTATCTCTTATCTCTTATCTCTTATCTCTGATTAGTGCCCAGGAAAACTATTCACACTAGAATTCTTTTAATTGTAAGACCTTGATATTTTCAACCGACCTCTGTTTTTTAAATCAATGATCACATAAAGAAGACGGTGAAATGGAGGATATATACGAGAACAATGAGGCTGATCACTCGTCCAGCGGTTAGTTTCACTCTTATCTCTTATCTCTTATCTCTTATCTCTTATCTCATATCTCTTATCTCTTATCTCTTATCTCTTATCTCTCATACACACAATAATTCCTTGATAACGTTCATTATAAAACCAACGAACACACAGAATGACCTACTGACTTTAAAAAAAACAGAAAACTGAAAGGTTTACTTTTCAGAGGAAGAAAGTTCGGAAGAAGAAGGTAAGATATGTTAAATAAAATCAATTGCTGGATTTTATTCAATGACAAAGAAAACATTCTCTTCAATTCATTTGTTTAAATCTCGATCAACGATTTGCATTCTATCACAATTGCTAGTGAAGGAAAATCAGGTTCAAGTACGCATGTATAATAATGTAAATTGTAACTTATAATTTCCTGTTTTCGTGTGGTTTATCAAGATGATTGAACTCTTCTACTCTAGGAGATAATTTCGCAGATATTTCACGGAGGCTTACACTGGCTATGTCAGTCATTAATACAGGTATAATAATAGCACAGTCGTCTTTGAGAACAGCACAAAAAACTCCAAGGGACCTTTACCTTGCTTTACAAATTTTACTGAAAATGATTATCGTGGTTGTTCTTAATTAATCGTTTGATTTGTTGTTAATTGCATCCTCTTGATTTTTACATCAGTCTCCTTAAAACTGTTACTCGATCAGTTCTATGGTTATCACTCAAAATAATTCTATACTTGTTTGTTAAATGTCAATCATCACTTCATTCAACTTCATTGCCACTTTATATTTTATCTGATAATTAAACACTGTTATATAAACTGTTCTCAGTTAAGAAAGAGTCAGTTCCCGTGAGGCCGCCGATCCAGCCCCCTGCAGCAGGCTCCTTCGGATCATCCGTTGCTAGACGACCAGTGGAACCCCCAGCCGCTCCAGTGGCCGCCAAGCCGGCTACTCCATCACGTGACGTGTCATCACGTGACGTGCCATCTGGACCTCCTGCGCCACCTTCGAAACCAAAACTCAGTTCATTGGACCAAAATACCAGTCATTTTCTTCCTACTACTCCTTCTCCCGGTACAACTTGTTATGTTTAATTATCTATAGATAGTATAGTATAGTATAGTATAGATACTCTACTCAAAATAGGTTTTTCAAGACTATTATCACTTCTCAATCACGTTTGTATTGAACACTTTCAGTGAAAGGGACAAGTGGAGGTATGAGCATCAAGGAGAAAATAGCTTTGTTGAACTCAGAGAAAAGTAACGATTATCTTGTTCAATCAGGTATTTACTATTTTGTGTTTCCTTCATCTATATTGTACCTCACCACGCTCCGACTTATAGTGCGGTAATTGACCAGTAATTGACCGGTAATTGACCTCGCTCCGACTAATAGTGCGGTAATTGACCATCTTCCGATCTCAACCGGGGTTTTTATAACAATTCATCGTTACTGTATTGGTTAAACAAAGTCAGACTCGATTATCATTATCTAACATTCTTCAGAAAAACCTCCAACTAAAAAGCCTGTTCACGGTAAAATACAAAATCGTACTTTCCTGATAAATAAAACAAGCTTAATTTGTCTAAATCAAAAATAAATATAGCATGGCTACTTTTAATTAACATGTTTTTCTATTGATAATCTTTCTTCGCTCTTATGAGTCACCAACTATCATCAAAATAACAAAAACCTCCAACTAAAAAGCCTGTTCACGGTAAAAAAAACAAAATAGTACTTTCCTGATAAAATAAAACAATCTTAATTTGTCTAAATCAAAAATAAATATAGCATGGCTACTTTTAATTAACATGTTTTTCTATTGGTAATCTTTCTTCGCTCTTATGAGTCACCAACTATCATCAAAATAACAATTTTTTCATATAGACTACACTTGTACATAGATTAATCCTTGGAGTCGATCAAATATGTGTTACTTTTTTTCGGTTATCGTCATTTTCGTGTAACCAACATTCCACATAAAACATGCATGTTCGCTGTTGTTTCGTTACAAAACATCCTCAAATAATTAATCGATTCGTGACCTGTAAATATTTTCTAATTCTGAATTAAACCCCATCCCCAGACGCTGCAGCCAGTGTGTCTATAAAAGACAGGCAATCCAAGATAGCCGGGTTGTTTGGTGCCTCCCAACCCACAGCCTCACTTCCTACTCCTCCCCCACCAACTCCTTCTCCCTTGGGTTTAGAGAAGAAACCACCACTTGGAGGTAGACCTCTGATCCCTCATGGTGCTCCGACAAGAAACCCTCCTGTGGGTTCTCTACCTCCTAGACGTCCTACTCCTCAGTTACCTCCTCCATCATTAGGACCTGATCTACCTCCTCCTCCTCTTCCTTCTCTATCATGTAAACTTTGTTAACACTTTGTTAAGTGTATAGTCATATATACCTCGCTGAATTCAGCTTTTGCCGAATATCTAACTGAGTTACTGAGTAGTATAACATTTAATTGTAATAAATTATGATGACTCAGAGGTTCAGAGGTTGCCATCATCGAACGCTGCTTAATAAATTAAATTCTAATTAACACTATAACTACCAATACCTCAATACCTGCAGGTATACCGCAATCAAACACCAACTTGTCTACGGGATGTGAGTTTTCTATACGTCATATACTTGAAATCTATACAAATATTTTAGGGGAGATTGTGAATTCGTTAATCATCAGTAATGAGGGTATGAATCTGACAAAGCATTGCGCAGATTCATACTCAATAACCAGTAACCATCACAGTAACCATCTAACGTATTCGTGTTTTATTCTGTGTGTTGTAGTGAAAGCCCTTTAACCTCTAACACTGCAACAAAACTATCTCCGATAACGAATAACGATTAAACAATTAAACTGGTATTCCAACTTTACAAGGGCACTACCCCCGCTAAATACCCCCGCTAAATACCCCCGCTAAATACCCCCGCTAAATACCCCCGCTTAATACCCCCGCTAAATACCCCGCTAAATACCCCCGCTAAATACCCCGCTAAATAACCCCGCTAAATACCCCCGCTAAATACCCCCGCTAAATACTCAAACCTACCAGTGACCCATTAATTCCAGGTTACGAGGACAATGAGATAACATTTCCCATTCCTTCCCCAACTAAAGGCAGATTTCCGTTGCCACCCCCCTCTATGGGGTATAACCCCCCTAATTCGGGGGTTGGGGGCTACAACCCCACAGAGGAGGATGAAGAGGGCCTGTACGATCTGGAACCTGAGGGGCCTGATGATATCTACAATGATGGGGACGAGGTAGGGAAACGATTATTTTGTATATTTTTAAAATGCTTGTCGGCTTAGTGCCTCAATCGTTTAAGGCAGACAAATTATACAATATTGATGGTTGTGGTAAAATTTTCAAAGGCTGGACTAAATGTCAATTAGGCTTTCTCCATTGATGCCATTTCAACGTTTAGGAACAGCATCTTTGCTATCCTATTCCTTTCTAAATATTGTAAATCATGTAGGAAATTTACAATGATGGAGATGATGAGGTAGTTTTATGTTAACTGTGTCCCATTATGACATTAGGAAATTGTGAATTGTGATAAAAACAAGTGAATCAGCCATTACCAATGTGATTAATGACGAATTTCTTCAGTAGCTACCATATCATTAATTGATATTGGGTGTCATAGTTATCAGTTGATCAGCATTCTGCATGCTATGAAAATAACCAAGGCGTCATTTTTGTAAACTTTTGAAAGAAACTCCATCATAAACATTATTTGCTATTTTAATGTTAACTATTTTAATGTAAACTATTGTAATGTAAACTTTTGTAATGTTAACAATTGCGTAATGTGAACGTTTGTAATGTAAACTATTTAATGTAAACGATTGTTATGTAAACTATTGTAATGTAAACGTTTGTAATGTAAACTATTTTAATGTAAACGATTGTAATGTAAACTATTGTAATGTAAACTATTTCAGGCGGATAAAATTCCTGGCTACTTACCTCATGTTTCTAGTCGGGGGACAGCTGAAGAATTGTTGCGAAATGATGTGAGTTTAAATTTAACAGTATTATAATGTGAGTTGACGGGTGAACCTGAAAAAAATTAAACGTAAACATTGCTCCTGAAAAGGGCCGTATGTTTCTTATTTCTGGAATGAGGAGAATGTGGAGAGGTTATGCAAGGTTATGGAAGGTCAATAATTGACACAAACATTTATTGTAACAATATTTCAGCCCCAACCAGAATGTTTCCTGGTCCGTGACTCCACCAATAACCCCCAACAATACCCCTACGTGATATCCCTCAAAGCGGTGGGAAACACTTTCGAACACACCAGGTAATTCTCCATTTTAGATTAGTTAATTATCAGTGTTACCCAGCTTTCGGCCAGGATTCCATTGTCGAGATTAAAATTGTGCATAAGTATGAACTCGTTCAGGATTGTTAAAATTATAAATGATTTAGCATTCTCCATTTATTTTATCTACAGATTGGGATCGCGAAGCAACGGAAAGCTAGCAATAGGGACGGCTAAGTCAATGGAGACAACACACGAAAGTTTAGCGGATCTGATCCACTACCACAGGACCACGCCCCTTAACCTGAGAGGCAGGAACGTTCTCCTCAAATACCCTATAACCCCACGATAAACTACACGTGCATACCACGTGTACTGAACTGTCGTCTTGTTCAAGCGGTTATGATATGTTATTTTTTAGTAATGTTAGCAGATTAATTGAAGTGGAAGCTGTGAAGATGTATGGTAGTGTCATTATTAATACAGATCTTAATTTGATTCTAAACGTGGAATTCTTCGAGATTTGAATTAAATCTTAAATGAGAAATCAAGTTTAGCTTTTCGATTAAAATAATAATCAAGGTTTAAGTTAACTTTATTGGTGAAATATAAACAATTTTTCATCTTTCATGAAGTTTGTTTTTAATGGTTTATTGATTACTAGACGTTTTATTAAATCCGTGACTGTCATTGATTACAAGTTTCAAGAATCAATCACGATTTTTAATAAGAATTATGCAGTATTTAATTTTGATTTGATTTTGATTCCATCATGATTTTGTAAGATTTAGAATGCTGCTGAGAGATTAATCTGTGGTTTTTAACAATTAGAGTTAGTTTTAGAATATTTTGATAGGATATGCCGTAAAAATGTGTGAAAATTAGAGTAGTGACACAGTGAGTACTAGTGAATACTAGTGAGTACTAGTGAGTACTAGTGAGTACTAGTGAGTACTAGTGAGTACTAGTGAGTACTAGTGAGTACTAGTGAGTACTAGTCAATACTAGTGAGTACTAGTGAGTACTAGTGAGTACTAGTGAGTACTAGTGAATAGTGAGTAGTGAGTACTTATAGCTAACTGCAACGCAAGGAGTAGGTGCATATCTGGTGTACACTGTATAACCGAATGAACTGCTTGTTTCATCTTTTATTGCTTTACTATTACTAATCTAGTGATACTCATTGATCAATGAGTCACAAATTTTATTTTTTGGATTTTGCATCTTTAAAAATCATTTCAATTTCTTGTATAATACTTTTTGATTCCCAGATTTTATTTTTTAAAGAAAACAAAAAGATTGGAGTTTTACTTTGTAAAAATGGGGTAGAATCGAAAAACCGATTGAAATTATTCACGAGAGGAAATCCAATTCAAGATTTCAATTAACAAATAGGTGGCCGAATGCTGATTGTCAAATTGTTGTTCAATATTCCGGGATCAGGTGGGCTTTTAGGGTTTTTCAAGCTGGGTAAAAGTATGGTCAAAATGTTTGCATAGTTTGAATACCGCCCACTCGTGCACGGTGCTGTGTACTTTTTGGAACCCTCTTAGTTAAAATTCCAAATCATGGACTTCTTGACCACGGCTGGCCATTGGCCAAATGCCAAACTTGAGTCTGAGATGAATCGTGGTCGTGAAGAAAAAAAAGTCACGTGACGGTATTTGCTTAGCAGATTGATGGGATAGCCTGGGCTGCAAGGCGCCAACAGATTGATTTAACATTTTAATAAATGTGTCTTTGGATTATTCAATACAGCTTATAAACAGCTATTTCCAGTTTTGGTATTAAATATTAAATATCTTCCTGTCCGATAAGCTCTGTATCGTTTCCCAGGTCACTGAATCCGTCGCTGTCTCTTATTCTTACTTTTAGACGAGGGGAGATGTTCATGTTGTCCATTAAGGGTGCTGCCATCTTCACCGACTGTTCTCTTATCGATTTCATCCCGCGTTTAGATCGCTTATTCAGCTGTAAATGAGAAGAATGTAGGTTATCGTACTTTGTACTTGACTCGATGATGTGAATAAAATTCAAACTAAATTGGAAGCACTTTTAATCGGTGTTTTATTTCGTCAACCGTTTTGTATTTTGATTTAACAATTGAAATACAGCAAAATTGAAAGGGAAAGGAAACAAGAAAACTGACACATTTTGTGAATGCTCACGATTATAATAATTATTAATCAAATTTGAATTTGATTCATTCTCACTTTTAAACTAAGGCTATTGTAAATTAACTTAAATGTTAAATTTAGAACGAAAGCTTGTTGAACCCTTAATAATTAATTAATGCAATTACAAATTATGCCAAATAATATTGTATAGAAACAGTGTTAAACTTTAAGTTTAAATACGAAAAAATATATACACTCTGTCTCTAGTTCATTGTTAAAATTGACGTTCTACGTAGTAAATTTTAACTGTACAAAAAATATCTAAACTCTATCATGATATTGTCTTTAACTAGGTAGTGCAGTAGTCGAGTCCGCCTAAGTTGAGCTTATCGAAAATTATAACTGTTCATCGCATATCCACAATAAAAATCATATCACAGATATAGATAACGGTCTTGTTACAAATATAGATTTGGGTGCAATTGCAATGATTACCTTACGACTGATTGTGGTTACCTATACCCTGCTCTTCGTTTCTTCTCCCTTCTACCAACTCAACAGACGCTGGTGATGGGTTCGGTTTACACGGAACACCTGTATCTTCATTGTCACTGAAACTCTGTACATCTGATTGTTCGGTATTGCCCCTTGGCATCACAGCAGCCATAGCACAATCACCAAAATCAATAAAGCTCTCGCAAATAACAGCATCCAATGAAATGGTCTGAGAGTTGGAGCGGTTGCCAGCTCCTTTCAGTCTTGTTTCCAGATCTGAGGCTTGCTGAATCAACCTGCTCTCAAATGCTTGAGACTGCGTTTTTATGATTTCCTCCAAGTTTGACGTTTGTTGCTTTAGTCGTCTTGATGTTCGTTTGAAGCTGCAAGAGGCTCTTCTCTGTAACTGAGGAAGTTCTCTTTCAGTTTGAGATCTATCAGATTCTTATCAGTAACAAACTCAAAAGCACGTGCAAGTGATATCTATCGTTTTAAACTACGTTTTGTAAGGTAACGAGGCACATTCAACGAGCAACTAGGGGTCGTTCACATATTACGTAATCATTTTTTGGAACATTTTTACCACCCCCCCCCCCCTCCGTAATCAGTTTTACACATAGCTATTGTGTCAAAATTACACTAGCGTAATCATTGGGAAACCCCCCCCCCCCTCAGCTGATTACGTAAAATGTGAACGACCCCCTATCAAAAAGATCAATCCAAAAAAAATCTGAAAACCGAGCTTTAAGCTAAAACAATAATTTTTAAGTCACATTCCAAAATCGCAATTCGGCATAATTAATGAAAATTTTGATGGACTAACGTGGGAGGAAATTGTTTTATAACTCATTGTTTCTGTTGTTCATGTTTTCCGGCCCTCAATTAAACCGGTCATATTTGGATCACAAATATGATTTTCCGTATATCTGTTCAAAATATCGCTATTCGCTAATAAGGCATGAAATTATGAAAATTGCACTGTGAAGGTAAACAGTTGTGTGGCACGTTTTCGTGCAAAAAGCCGTGCAACAAGAATTTGATCAAACAACAAATAACCAAACTTGTAGCCGCAAGAAAAAATCGTCATAACAAACACAATTATATTATATCGATAGAGGAATTGGAAATTTTCAGTGTCGGTTTTTACTAAGTTTTTATATTAATGCACTAAAGCTTGATAGACAATAAAAAACCCGCGATCTCATGAAAATAACCCCACTATATACCCCACTATATACCCCACTATATACCTCACTATATACCCCACTTTATACCTCACTATATACCCCACTATATACCCCACTTTATACCTCACTATATACCTCACTATATACCCCACTATATACCCCACTATATACCTCACTATATACCCCACTTTATACCTCACTATATACCTCACTATATACCCCACTATATACCCCACTTTATAGTTTATACCCCACTATATACCCCACTATATACCCCACTATATAGTATATACCCCACTATATAGTATATACCCCACTATATACCCCACTATATACCCCACTTTATACCCCACTATATACCCCACTATATACCCCACTATATACCCCACTATATACCGTACCCCACTATATACCCCACTATATACCCCACTATATACCCCACTATATACCCCACTATATACCCCACTTTATACCTCATTTCTAACTTTAGGGAGTCTGAGAACGTAGAGAAGAGGGTTAACTACAGGACTCAAATACAACATCCAGAACGTTAACGTCCTCAGCGCCATCTCTGTCGACTTATCTAACCTGTAATCAGTTTAGTAAGATTGAAATATAAACTGATGTAATCGCTGGCAGATTATTGCCACAATTTATTGAACTGATATTATCTTCCAGAACTTTGATATCTCTTCAACTGACCCCGGCTAACCTGTGGACTGCGTTTGTGTATGATCGGACTATTCCAAACACATAGAAAGGGAATATAGAAACCATCCAAATTAGCCCAACAAATATTGAGATCAAAGAAGCGTGCTTATAGTCTGTACTACTACTGCTCTTCTGACTCTTTTGGTCTTTACTCGTCTTACTTCAGAGTTATAAAGTTACTTTACTCGTTTTACTGTAGAGTTATACAAGTTATATTTTGCATACACTTTCAAGTTTGATCTAATTTGTGATGAGATTGAAAGTTTGGGACAGCGAGACTGACAGAAAATAATCAAAAATGTAAAAAACTAAATTCTCAAAATGTACCTATTGCCGAGTTTCCTTCGGCCCTTCTGCACGTTATCCCGTTTGGTAAGGCCTACCACCATCAAGGTAATGAGTGTGACCAGTATGGCCACTAGTATAAAGAAGGCTACTATATTGTACACAAAACCAAACCTCACGTGGGCCCACTCAGTGAAGTTCCACATGCACTTATAGGTAAGGTATTTGTTAGAAATGTGAGGAAAATCTTTACTTGAGAGTTAACTTTCTTCGGTAAAAGTATAACACGATATCTGACCAATTTCCATCAATATCATTAGTTTTCAGTAGAAGTGTCAGTATAGTGTTAGTATGGTGAGTGTCAGCGAAAGTTACAAAAGGTGAGCATAATCTTTGCAATATGAAGTGACTCCTCTCGTTTTGGTCCATTAGAAACTAAACAAGTAAGTAACATTAGAACAAGTTTCAGTAAAGAGAATATTCACCTGTTTAGCGACCAGATTGTAGTTGTAACCCTTGACGTAGTAAGCAGTGGGTATGGTAAGCAGCAGTGTTACCACCCATATCACTAGGGTGCCACCCATTATTCTTTTAGCTGTAGCCACTCTTCGGTAAGCGATAGGGAAATACATCGATAACACTCTGGTAAATTATAGACATGATTCAATTTTCTATTGTCAATAATTGTAAAATCTAAATTCATGTACTTGGTAGAGTAACTTAGCTCAAGTTGCATGACGTTTGAACGGTGTCATCCTCAAAGCTTTCAACCATTATTCTACGCAGAACATTTGCCACGGGCACCAAAATATGAGCCAACTATTAATTCTAGCTGGAAACTACCTGAGAGCGGAGATGATGACGACAGTGACAAAGGAGAGGGGTTGAGAGAAGGGTCTAACGTAACTGCTGACCATACACCACCACCCTTCAGCACTCACCATGAAGGTACACTTGCACCGAGTCAGGGAGATGTTCCGGTCTGGCAACAGTCCTGGTTCTGTGAGTGGTTGTTAAGTGGGATAAATTGTGAGTAGAAATAGGGCTAATTTCAAGTAGAAGAATTGTTAAATGTAAAAACAATGATTGTGATCAGCTGGTCAAGGAGACAAATACAGAGATGGTATTTTTGCAATCTGAACTGGAACTCTAGAGGTCTAGCTGTTGACAGTTCAAATATGAGGTGCAAATTATGATATACCACCATACAGTAAACACTGAGTTTGTCTTACCACCAATCCAGTTACCAGTGAAGCAAGCGACAGTAACGAAAGGAAGGTGCAGTACGCCAGTAGTGAGGTCCACTATGGCTAGTAACAGCAGCACCAAGAAGGACGGTGTCCGTAGTGCAGCACTCTGGGTTATGGCAGTTAGAATCACTCTCAGAAATATTTATTGTAAAATTGATTTCATTTAAAAAAAAAAGAGTACCGTTGAATATTATAATTAAGGTTACGATTATTTTCTAACGAATGTGTTTGATACTCACGGTGCTGATGTAGTAGATAGCGGTGATATTGCCCAGGATCGCTGTTATGGTGAGGAGGAGAGTGATGCTACCCAGCAGAGGATCCGTCCCAACCCACCAGTCTTCTGTTGGGTATACAGATTGTTATTCAACAAATCCCTGGAGCCTTTCAAATTTAAATTTGTACGAGTTATGATGCATTATATATCAATCCACGTAAATATTGAAACACCAAAATATGGCGGATTTACAAGACAACCCAATAAGATTAACAAAGATATAACATTTTCAAACTGGAAATAGTAAATACCAGAATGGTCTTCATCGTGGATGTGGTTCCCTACTCCTATGTCCTCTTCGTCCATTGCACCCACTGCAGAGATCAAATTCTTACAAAAAAACAAGAAACAAACAAGATAAAACCCAAGACCGGCCATCCTTGCATCAGTATCAGCGGACAACAAAACAAAACTCTTTATAATTATGGCCTATGCTCTCTGTATAAGTACGGTATTATCAGTACTAAATTCTAACGTACAATAGTCCTACATTCAGCCATATAAATGGCTCAAAGTGGTCATTGTGGGACCACTAAAACATAATACATAGTTACAAATATATCACAATGTAATTGTAAATGCATAGTTAATAGTTATGTATAGTGGATCAGGAAATCGATGTTACACTTGTTTAACTGCAGGGATGTAGGTAACCTGCAACTCATCGAGAATCGATCGCAGAAATCGTGCAAATGATTTGATTTGAAACTTTTACAAAATAACAAGTATATATTTTATATGTTTGTTCGATTTGCTGTACATTTGTTATATATAACAAATGTACAGCAAATCGAACAAACATATAAAATGGGCCGAAATGTATAAATGCTAAAAAGCGTGGGTCAGTGAAACAAGAACAGAGGACAACTTTCAAAGCAGGAATTTTTTGGCCGCCCAAAGCCTCAATAACATCACCTCCACGTCCTAGTAATAATATTTCCAATGTTTCGAGGGGATGAGCACTGGAAGGCTTTTTATATCATTCAAAAGAAAACAAATTAAAAGTATTTATTGTTGTGGATCATGGATTTATGGAGCCAGGATGTAGGCAACAGAACTTTATTTTGTAAAACCATGTGGTTAGTGCCACACCCTCATCAGCATTATCAAATATTCGCATGTTCCCTCAGCTAATATGATTAGCTGAGGGAATGTGCATATATAAACAGATATTCGGAAATATTCATACATAATTGATAATGTGGCACTCACCAGTCACCATATGGTTTTACGAAATAAAGTTCTGTTGCTAAATCAAACAATCCTATTTTGTTTCAAATTTCGTGACTTAGATAACAAATAAGCTGTCGAAGACCTGATAAGACAGGAAGTAGCTACAAGCAGTGCTGAGAATGGTTAACGACATACATAATGGGATATAATGGGATATAATGGGCATGTCCTAAAGTGTGCGATACAGACTCTAGTAATACTAATAGTAATAGTACTATGTATTACTGTATACCATGAACCATGAGAATAGGAATTAGCGGTGTAGAAATAAATGATGTATATAATGAATAAACATGAATGGGGTTATCCAGACAGGCTTTGACTAAAGGTGCAGAATGCCGATAAGGGTGCCGATCTCCTTTGCGGTAACTAGTACCGCCAGTAGTAAGTATAGACTCACTGCAACCCTGCCGGGACCCCGAACGTATACACTCCTGCTCAATGTCCAATGCTAAAACGATCACAATGGTGATACAGACTCCCCGCGGCCCTATCTACACCGGATATTGTCACGCGCTGTATATATTCACGATATAAGGTTGACGATATAGTAAGAGGGTGTGATGACCGTTTTTAATCTCTAATGAGAACCTTAATATTCAGATCATCTTATTATTGTGTAATTTCGTTTGACCTACCTACTATTATTAGCGTCAATGCTTTGATTGGTATTAAAATGTAAAAAAAAGTAGAAGCTTTCTCGATTTTAGATGGTCGGAACTCTAAATTCCACTTGAACAAGCTAATTTCCATGATTCGTGACAAACATCAAGTGAAAAATAAAATATTGGAATATCCCTTAAAATCATCAACTCGAAATCATTATCAAACATCTAGAATAGGCCGAGCAGGATACACACTCAATTCAGTTGGCCGTGTTTCGGCAGAACTAAATAGTAACAAACAGATGCAATGGGAATTACGGTTTTAAATTCAATTGTAGTTAAGCAACAGCAAGATTGTTCGACATGCTGATAATCATCGTTTAGTAATATACAGAATTAGATCTGACATAGGTTATAAGTATAACAAAATGGCCACTGCTGATTACCCGAGTTGATTAAATAAACGGGAGCAGTTGGTAGTTTTGATTAGTAAACGATCAAGCATTAATATCATATATGCCCAGTTGGCACATGGTGGCCAACCAGACTTGAAGTTCCAATCAATCAATCAACAATTCTATTTCGATCTTGACATTTGATAGATCACAACTCCATGTGGGACCATGATAGATGTAAATGCTGGCAGCGTGTACACGGTGCATACATAATGTCGGCTCTGTACTGATATAGTTTCTCACAATAGTACTGCTGTATAATTACCTGAGTACGTAATAATGAGCTAATTGGTAATTATGATAATTACTCATAATTATGTACACAGTTATGTAATTACATATTGACTCTACTATACATGATCCATTGATCCTGGTTTACCTGGCGAAATCACGTTCATCCTGGTACTGTTTCCGTATATCACCACTCATTGACTCGTTATATTCTACAGTTCAGTAACAACAACAGTGAATTAACACACAATTATAAATGAACAATTATAGAATTGACTTTAATTAATTGAATAAAGCTAAATTGTTAATTACATCACAGAGATGAATAAGCGGGTCTTGAGATACGTGATAATTAAAATTAAGAATATAACTCCACTTATATTGTTTATAATGATAAACGTAACGGATTTTTTTTGCTGTTTTTTTGGGCTAAATGAAACTTGTGACCGGACTGCGGACAGGAAGTGCAACTATAAACTAATCGCACTGTTTTGAGAACAACCGAAAACATAATTGGTGCGATTCGGATTACGAAACTAATCGCACTGATTTTTTGAAAGTCTGAATACCTTGTTCCGCAATTTTCTGCCCATACGCTAACGCCTAACATAGGTTTATGTCATTATAGTTGCACGAGCGTAATAATATTGCTCAATGTAATAATATAGTGTATAATATTGTAAATCTTGTAAATCTTGTAAATCTTGTAAATCTTGTAAATCTTGTAAATCTTGTAAATCTTGTAAATCTTGTAAATCTTGTAAATCTTGTAAATCTTGTAAATCTTGTAAATCTTGTAAATCTTGTAAAGAAATTCATTTTGTCCCTGCAACTTACATTTGGATGTTGTGAAATTTGCCACATAACTTCTGTTCATCCCCAATATCCTGTGTTATTGTTCGATTATGAGATTTGTTACTAGTTTGTCAGAATTAATAATGTAAGGAGCTGTATAGGTTAAACAGGAAGTTATTGTGGCACTCTGTGACACTTTGCGGCACTCTGTGGTACTCTGTCACTGATTCACATTCGATTAGGTGGATCAAAGGTTGAGGTGGTAATCATCGTTACCGCCTAGAGTTATGAGTGCTTTTTTATGTTTTGCACTAACTCCTGAACAGCAGAAGTGGAGACGATCGATTTGAATATTAAAAATAATGGTCTCGGACCACAAAATTAATTCGATATCCCTTGAGTGCCTTGGATAGAAGGGTAGAAAAGGGTATGCATTTTTCGAGAACTATTAAATACATGATTTAAACTGCAATATATGATTTAAACTGCACTGACGGTATTGAGGTGATTTTTCATGTGACGTCAAGTTAAAAATATCGGTACAAGACATGTAACAACGAGCAGTCAATAAATTGGCGAGGAAAACTCATTGACACCATAATTTGTACTTTGAGGCTGGTAATTGATTTAAATTTCATGCCATCTGCAACTGTGAAATTAGCAGTTGGTTAGACGTAAAAAAGAGCCTTACAAATGACAAACTTATGAAACTTTGAGGAAACATAATCGTTTAAATCCAGAGCATGCATAGCCATAATGCAATCATGAAGATCTGATCACTTTCAGACACAGTTTCATTGTATGTATCAGTTTGCGTTCTTGGGTGGGTCGATATTATAGGGAGGACGAAATTAGAGACTCACTAAGAAGTGACTTGGTTGAGTCTCTCATTTCTTTCCTATGCTAATAAACACTCGGTATATCTAATTCTATAAATAACAACTTATTATTTACGTATAATACAGACAAACTAATAACCATTTTATGATTTATGCATCATATAGCGAATGATATATTAAGTCGAATTATATGTAATTGGCTTATTGCATCCTGAAATAACCTTATGGTCAATGATCATTGACTTCTCATCCGTAATAAATAACAATCAATACAGCACAATTCGATGTAATTATTAATTATATCTATCTATATATTGTTCTATGAATAAGAGAGTTAGAATTAACCCAAATATCAGGGACACGAATGACTACTCCAGGATTAAAGAAACTAAACTTTCAACACTGAAAACATTCAGATTCTTGCCAAATATATTTCGATTGTAGTCATCTCCAGTGACATTGAACCTAAAAAATGTTAAAAGGTTAGTGAAACTCAAGCCGTTACAAAATTAAGAATCCGAAAAAGGTAAAAAGATCATATTAAGGTTTATGGAATATAGGTAATCCAAAGGGATTGACAGTATTAAGGCCAAAAGGTCTAAGAGAATTAAGCAAATGTATGTAGTTATTTTCTTTTACTTCAAGTGTACTGGGACTGCAATTCTCTAAAATAAAAGTTTTAAAAGTTTCATTAAAATCTGTATGTACTCCTAAACCGTGGTCGATTAATTATTCTATAAATAATTAATATTCATAAATTTGACCAAAACCCATAATCATGATTTCATTCTCGGTATCAATTTGCATTTGCGGACGGTTATTCAAATTAATATCATTTCCTTTTGTTTGGAAATGAGAGACATTGACAGCGGTCCACTCTACCCATGATTATGGGTTTTGGTCGAATATGTATATATGTAAAAAAACGGAATTAAACGGAATTAAACGTAAAGTTGTCGGAGATGGCACTAACACCATCGTCTCGACTACCTTACAAGACATTTTTGTGGCGGACCAATTTGCGACGACCGAAATTTTGGCGGTCCGAAAATATGGCGAAATTGAACAAAAACCGTCACATTTCGGACGTCACAGAAAATAAGGGTATTTTTCATCATTTTGTTTTCTGACACAAAGGAAATTCAAAATTTTCTAAAAATCGGTAAAATCATGTTGAAACAAAATGAAACTTATAAATCGATTTTTTCATCTTCCTCTAAGGGGTCCGGCTCGAATCTTTCAGTTTCACTTATTGAGTTTGGTATTAAATTGTTTGATACATGTTTCGTA